GATAGATAGATAGATAGATAGATAGATAGATAGATAGATAGATAGATAGATAGATAGATAGATAGATAGATAGATAGATAGATAGATAGACAAAGTAGAGTACAAGTAAATGCCCACAACAACTGAACAGCCTCACACTGACCAGTAGCAAACAGGATTGTTTTCCAGCTGTCCTGAAATAGTTTTCTATTATCACCCTGTAATCATCTCTATGGTGATTGCAAAGACGAGGGAAGGGACATGGCGACAAGGGTACTGAACCCTAAACCCTTCACCTCTGGAGTTTTATTTTAAAAGACAGTATAGCCAGTTTTGGACGAAATTGGGTTATTGGTTACGCCTGATAGTTTAAAACACGGCACACATTTCTGGCTTAGTCCTTGCTTGTTTTAGCAAGAGTTTAACGCACTTGCAACCCAAGAAGATCACACAAGTGCTGAAGAGAGGCGTTATAAGAAAGTAACGAACATAAAAAAGGAGGAGAGATAAAGACGATAATTTTTTGACAGGAAAAAAGGAACAAAACACACCAGAGCACCTGCCAACCACCAACTGCCTTAGTCTGGCATATAAAGTTGTTCCCGCATCCGATCCAGACATGTGGGATTGCCTTGTTAGTGAGACAACTTCCTGGACCTTCGGCATATTGTGGTAGGGTAGCCAGTTCCTTTCCATTTCGCCTTTACTTCCCCAACTCGGAGTCTGGTACCCATTACTGCTGGGTGGGCGTTTTGAAGATATTCAATGTGACTATCTTTTGAGAGGCAAAGATCTGGGTTTTTTGTTACTATATTTAAAAAATATTTTAAAATACTCTTTTTATAGGGGGGGGGGCTCTCCCGAAAATTTTACAAAACTGGATATACTGTGTTTTAAAATAAAATTCCAAACCTGCCAGGTCAGTTGTGAATGTTTTTTGCTATCTGGGAATAAACATGTTCAGGAATAAGAGAAAAAATGGATTAAAAATCATTGGACCTCACCTATCAACGATTAGAATAAGTTAAACCAAACTTTCTCTTGAGACGCCACAGTGACTTGGGGTGACCTCACGGAGAGTGTAGAGACTGAATGTCTGCGAGGGGTCATATAGGTTCCGATCAATGTGGGGGCTAAAGTTTATTTTTACTGAGAGATGTTGTAGTTGTTGTTGTTGTTGTTGTTGTTGTTGTTGTTGTTGTTGTTGTTGTTGTTGT